TACCGATAATAATGTGTGTGGGTGTGGGTGTGGATGACAGATCAGGTACAACTACATTCACACCAACACTCCCAACCACATCAGCCCCCACACCTATACCCCCCCCCCCCCCACACCCTCAATCATTATTATCGTTATATCAACATCATTTACACCTTAACGACTCTAATAACTCAAAGGAATTATTATTTTGGTGTTTCTTACACCGCTTGCTCTTTCATAATTGATGAGATGTCAGATGAAAGTTATTCACCTGAATTAGATTTATCTGAAAACAATCTTGAATTTTTTTTTTTTTTTTTTTTTTATTATGCCGATGTTAACCCTATGACCCTGACGGTCCTAAAGGGACATTTGAGCTTGAAAGATAATGTACCGGTTATACGATAAGAGAAAGAAGGAGGAAAAGAGCAAGAAAGGAAGAAAGAAAGAAGAAGAAAAAATAAAAAATAAAAATAGAAAAAGTAGCTGAATTAAATAAAAAATAAGAATAAACAATGAAGATAAAAAACAAAGAAGACATTCTTTCTGAAGCAGTACACGAGCGAAGCGAAGGGCACCGAAAAGAAAACAGCAAAAGAGAAGTACCAAAAAGAGTGAAAAACAAAAGGCCGTTAGCAAGTGTTGACTATCTGCGTAGCATGCAAGTTAGCGAGGAAGAACGAAACTTCACTGTATTTCACTAAAGAAACAGAGCAAAAAAAAAGAGAACATAATAATAATAATGATGATAATAGGCAATAGGCAAGCGGTGACTCTAAGTTCATAAGCGCTCAACCATGAATTAAGGATCTTCTAATCGAACTGGACTATTAATACTATCTTTCATCATTTGGATCAGTTCATTGTGTCGCTGGTTATTTGCGATCAGCTGTTTCTCCAAGTTTAGTTTCAGTTCCTCGATTGCTGTTTTGTCACTCCGCTTGCCATTAGATATGCGTTCGCTGATTGATGAAATGCTAGTCTGCTTGTCACTATTTACTTCACGAACGCATTTTTCAAATTTTGGTACAACGTACTTTCTTCCTAGTTTAAATAATAGACCGCCGAAAATGCAACAACTAACAAATATCAGCAGGAATTCCCGCCACGATCGATGTGGACGAGGCGCACCGAACACATGATTTTCAATTTCTTTTGTTTTTTCAATGTACTCTTTCACATGGCTTGAGTTTGCGTAGTTGTTGACAAAAAAATTATATTTGTTCTCGATGTTCTTCATCTTATTATTATGGTTTACTATCGTGTTTATTAGACCTTGATTTTTATTTTCATTTTGTTGTTGATCTTCCATCCCTGTGATTTGACCATCTGACTGCTGTTGTGCTTCAAGCGCTGTTTGAAGAGCTTTGTCGAGATACGTACGACCTTGATTGTAAACTGGATTGCCTATTGTGCTTGAGATGATGAACATAGAAAATATGCAGGTTAAACGGAAGCGTTGGTTCATTACGGCTAATTTATCAAGTGGTTAATCAATATTGTGTATTCACTTGTTTGAAGAGAGTGTTAAACGCTTGGTTATTTTGATAAACAAGTATTTGAGGAGATTCCGTGTATCATAGATGAGTGTGTACGTAGATATGAAACATATATGTTTTGTTCGTTTTTATTTTATTTTACAGTGTTGTTCTCTTTCGATACTGTTCTCACGTATCTCTTCTCCCCTTTCATTCTTTCAATTTTCTCACATTCATCACGACCGTTGTCTTCTCTCTCGCTCTGATTCATTCAATCTTTTTTGTCATGATGACCTTAACTAAATCTATTATCTAAAACTCTCGGAAAATAAAGCAAAACAAGCTACATCATCCTCGTTGCAATCAATGATTGAGTCGGCCGTCCCATGAGATTCCACCCACTTCATCGCTTGTCCAAAGACATCCACATGTGGTACGAATCTTTTCGATCTATGTAGACAGCGAATCGATTTTGCACCTTGCTGCCAGTTCGTTCTATGCGTGTTCAGTTCTGATTGTTCCAGCATAAGATATCCGTCCCTGGAATTGGATAGTACTTTTAGATACCTTTCCCAGTAAGTATAACAATGATCTTCAAGTAATTTTTCTCTATATAGTGATGAGAACAGTAGATCCTCCCAGCATTGACAATAATAAATCCGTTTTAAAAGTGTGAAGTATAGATGGTTAAGATCAGCACGCTGAGACTCGGTTAATAATGGAAAAATTCCGAATAACCACGTAAAATGCGGTAGCACAAATGTGGAGAAAAGTGCTCGACGTAATTTCGTGGAGGATGTACCACTAATTCTGAACGAATTGACCAGAGCTGTTTTCTGACGGACAGTAATTCGGATCTTTCCTAGAATATTTCCCCAGCCTAGCTTCGTCGTTAGCCAATATCCTAAGTACTTGAAGGAAGAGATCCACTCAATCGTATGATCTCCGCAGTGAACTTGGGGCATGGGGTTTGGATATCCAATCGCTCTTGCCGAGAACATTGCTTGAGTTTTCGCATAGTTTATCGGTTGTACAGATAGTATCGAGTAGAATTCAAGTTGATCTAAGAACGATTGTAGTCGACGTTCGAGATCAATACATTGATCGGTAAAACGAATTCCTATCTGCCCGGATAGTACTGCTGCAAGGTCATCTGCAAAGAAGAACGACATTGCTCCAGGGATATAGTCAGCCATATCACTATGATATGTAATGAATAACGAGGGTGTTAAACTCGAACCTTGTGGACCACCACGATTAATTTCGATCCATCTTGATCTTTTACTCTGTACTTCGATGGTTGCTTTACGACCAGTTAGCCAGGCATGAATCCAATTCACATAGGTATGCGGGATTCCCAGTCTGATGAGCTTACCCAAACATCCTTCAAACCACAGTTGATCGAATGCAGATTTGAAATATACGAAGACCGTCGCTACCGGAGAGCTGTTTGCCATATATGATGAGATTTGTTCAATAAGTAGTAACACACGAGTTTGTAATCTATATCCAGCACGAAAGCCAGATTGATTATCTGGTAGTATACCTCTGTCTTTCAACACTTGAACGAATCTATTGAGAAATAGTTTTTCTTGAACTTTCAAAAACGAATCGAGAAGTGAAATAGGTCGTGTTTGATCTGGTGCACATATAGCACTTTTCTTAGCAAGCAGTACCATTCGGACTTCTTTAAATTTTTTCACAATGTAACTTTCACCAAATGAGTAATTATATAGTTGAGTCAAAAGAAGCCAGTAATGACGAGGGATTTTGTCAAGTATAAAAGGTGATAGACCATGGATATCTAACGATTGTTTCTTCTTTCTTGATTGTAGTATATTTATTATTTCTGGGTACGTAACACGCCGTATATCATTTGATGCATTCTCCCATAAAAGGGGAGGAGCATCGACGTATGGGTGTGGGCGCATCACTACCGGGGCCTGGAATAGTTTTTCATAATATTCTGCTGCTGTATTTGCCATGACTTGCGGATCTTTTATAATCTCACCATTCAGTGTAGCGAAGCCCCTAAGAGACGAGGATACATGTCGAAAGTGTCTTTTAGTTTTGTTCCAAAAGAGTGTAGAGCCTTCACCTTGTACATATCTTTCTTTTAATTGTTTAGCCAGTTGCTCCTGCTGGAAACGCTTTAATTCGAAACGTGCTAGATTACGCAGTCGATGAGCTTCATTACGAAGTTGGATGTCACCTTTTCGCTTTGCTTTAAAAGATAACGAACGACTTTGAGTAAGAAGTTTCAGAAGTTCCTGTGGAACGGATGGTCGAGCACGTTTAATTGCAAAATATTGTTGACATCTATAACTAAGCGATGTAAGAAACAAAATGAAATGTTCGTAGGTAGTTTCGGATAATTGAGTGTTCCATTCCTTTTTTTCCCAATATTCATATGTATAAGATAGAACTAGCGAAAAGACCGGCCATATTGTACGAGATCCTACAGTTTTCGGAGCACCATCATCTGTAAATACACCTAATAGCGGTTTATGATCGCTGCTGATATCACCTTCATACGTTTGCATAGTCAAATCCACACCGTTAGTGACAGCATAATCTATAGTTCGATCTGAACGAAGTGATGTATACGAGTCCGGAACCACAGGCCTGAGACAACAAGAGTCCAACCATTCGAGTAATCGATCCGCTTTGTCACCATCACGTTCAATATCAATATTAAAATCCCCCATGATCATACAACGGTTGGTAATTACGGTCGTAAGATCGGTCCAATTCCAAGTTTTACTTGCTGGGGCGTAGATTGCAATCAGTCTGATTATTTCACTTAAGAAAATGTCGATTACGCAAATGTTTGGCAGTGAGCAGGAGACTCTTGTAACATGAATATCTTTACGTATCAACACCAGCACTCCACCATGCGCATTTTCACCTGCTTGATAAAAAACATCGTAGTTGGATAATGCAGCACCTACTAGAGATAAATCAACATGTCCAACTTCACCTAGAACTAAAATATCAGAATGATGTTTTTGGACTAATAAACAGACTTCCCCCCATCTTAAGTCAAGGCCACGAACGTTGAAGCAGAGTATATGTATATAAGAAGATAAAAGTTGCTCATGCAGTTTTTGATGACTTTTCCAATTTGAAATTAGCTCACTTAAGGAGGAAGCAGCATGCCACTCGTTAATAACTTCCGCTAGTAGACTATAGTCTTTCTGTTTGAGACTGTTCCGAGCTTGATCTAAGAAGCAGTTGGATTTATTGTCATATTTATAATTATCATTATTACTGGTGAACTTGGTCATTGAGTTGATTTCAATAAGGACGATCGTACTTCAACCAATGTTTTAATTTGTTCTTGCCAGTACAATTTCCAATTCTTTCCTTGAGAACTTTGTGGATCCAAAATAGAAGAACAAATATTTTGAATTATAGTGCAAGTACGTACAAATAGATCTTCAAAATTCTTTTCCATTGTTTTAACCTTTTCTTCTAATTCTTCCACCTGTTGTTTCGTTTGATCATAACAACTTCGCATTTCTTGTTTGAATTCGATCAAAGATTGACGCGTTGCATTTGATTCTTCTTCCACTTTTGTTAAAATGCTATCGAGTTTTCTAAATATCAATTCCTGAGAATTTGAATTTGATGGCACCATTTTTACCACGTTGGCATAAGATAATTCCCTTGTTGTTGTACTGCTCTGTTGGTTGTTACTCTGTGCTGGACCTGGTTCTGAATTATCACTAGGTGTTGCGATGACGTTTGACAAGAGATTACGAGTTAGAGTGGCCCGATATTGCTGTATTATTTTGCATTTTGAATCATTTGAGACGTGTGCTCCCCCACAATGTATACATTTTAGAACACCCGAACACCGATGATCCTTCAGATTAGAACATTTTTCTCCACAGGTTTTGCATGTTGCTTCGTCTTTCTGGGGGCAACTTTTCCTGAAGTGCCCTATTCCGTAACAGTTGGAACAAATTAGTACGCTTGCTTGTGCATAGAACTCGACGACTTTGTATTTTAAGTGTAAAACTGTAATTTCTCCGGCTTCAAAGATATCGTTTCGTGTTTTGACTGATATAAACTCCAGCTTCACTGCACGTATTGGTTGTTGTGCTTTATTTTTTAATCGGATAACATTCATTATGCCAGGATATGTATCTTTTAATTCTTCCATAAATTCTTCCCAGTCAACTTGGAGAGATACAGCAGGTATAACTAGAGCGAGCTGTGGTGGAATCGATGGTCTTTTTGTTGTATAGTTAGAACCTGCTAGAGATGTCGGCCAATTTTCTTGGTTATACAGGAACATGAAAGATTCACTATTCTCGACGAATATTAATATGCGACATTCGTTATTTTCCGCACGTCCACGCCTGTACGCTACCAATCTCAAATCGAAATTTAAATTTTCACTTGCATGTTTGGTTAGATCATCGATAACCATCTTGTCTCGAACTTCTTGCGAGAAAATAACCGAAAAAGGAGAGAATGGAAAGCGCGTAGTAGCGAAACGACAGGATGCGGATGTAGGTTGCTGTAGATTATCTGTTGATTGCACTATCGGCTCGTTCATACCGCGATGACGTTTAATAGAAGTATTGTTCGTGTTGAGAACTCGAGTAATCTGTGGATATTGAGGTCTAACTTGAATATTCGATTCTGAGATACCACTGGTGTCATTGCGCCCTCTCTTGGCACTAGCTGATATTGGCGTAGAGGATACTGTTGGATTACTCATTGATGATGAAGGCATCTCCATAATATTAAAAGCTGGTTGACATGTGGATAAAAAGGCTTGTTGTTGAAACATGTTGGAATGTAACATTGGTTGTTGTGCCCCACCATGTGCCACGTTGTTATTTAGTGATAATTGTTGTTGTTGTTGAGGTTGATGATGAACGAATAGGCTGGTTGGTGGATATTGATTGGCCATTTGACTATTTGGCAATTGTTGCAAGCAAACGTATGGCTGATTGGAATTAATCGGTTGTATGTTTGCTGGAACAGTATAATAAACTATTTGCTGTTCTTTGGTTGTTTCGTTGTTAGAAGCTAGTGGAACATTATTTAACACTCTAAATAAACCCGAGTTTTCATCGGGCATACAAACTGGTTGCTGTAACTCCATATTGTCATGTGAGTTTCCACTTGAGGTGCTCATTTGTCACCAGAATCCACAAGTCTTAGACTTAGATTCTTGTGAAAACGAACGACGTAGAAAGAGAGAGCAAAAAAAAAAGAATAGAAGCGGCAAGTACAGACACGTCTCACCACTGCAAGCGCGAGTGAAGGAATGAACAATCTTGAATTGTTTTCAAAGCAGCCTTCATTGAGGAAATACAATATCAGAAAGAAAGGAATTAAACGAAAACGTCAATTAACAGCACGAAACAAATTTACAACAACTTCGAAAAGTCGTTCAAATTCTATGATACGTTCAAATGATCATAGCCCTGAACAGATTCATCTTAAAAACCGGTCACGTTTTCACCATCTTATTGTACATGAAAACAAGGAAATACAACATCATTACTGCCCGGATGAAATCACTAGTTGGTGCAGTTACAAACGTGATCGAGCTACAGGAAAACATGAAGATGAAGGTAAAGATAAAAATCGACTTGATCCTATATTTCGTCAATTATTGCACAAAATGATCGAAGATTTAACATCCAAAGAATTACTATCCAGATGTATACGAGGTCTCACGCAAAACTCGAACGAATCATTGAATTCGGTAGTATGGTCTATATTATCAAAATCTAAACATCATGGATTTTCATCGATACAAGGTGCTGCTGCAGCTGCTTCACTTTATTTCAATGGTGGTAGAACATCGTTGTTAGAATTTTTTAAACAATATGGCATTCAAATTAACGAAGATTTATACTGGAATTTCTTGAATCGGGATCAACAACGTGTTAGAAAGGCTGATGAAACATCATTAAAACGTGAAACGATTATTTTACAAAAACAAAAACAACGCATGCAAATGCTACAAGCTTCAAATGACACAACAGAGTATGGACCTGGCTTTTTTCATTAATTACTTCTATTGTCTACTTGTTATTTATGAATAAATTAATATTTGTTTTTCTCATATCTACAGATTATTAATTAAGAAGTGTCAAACATACAATGCGATAACACAGCATTGTTTCATACAAGAAAAAGTTATTAGTATATGATTCTTAGTAATCGTAAGCGACGTTTTTCGCAGATAACTGACAAAATCGTCATTATTTTCACATCATAAATATTTTGATAAGGATTTTTTTTTGTCAAAAAAACAGATATTCAAAAACTTTCCATTCCATTCGATAGAGCTTTTCAAGCTCTTTCGAATGACATGTTACAAGTTTTCCTTTGGTTCTTCGTAAAATTAAAAAAAAAACTTTTTGCACCAGCATATCGGAAATTAGCATTAATTATGACTAATTAGTAATTAAAATAAAGGAAGGAACAAAAATTCGAGACTTTTTTTACATCAATTTATATCTACAAATGATTGCCTTCAAATAGAAGCCAAAATCAAATCAAATTAGCACTCCTATGAACTACTGTGAACCTTTTAAAAATGGTCTTTCAACTAAAAGTATTTAATTAATTTTGAAATTAATTCATTAATAACTCGGCCAAAAATTGACAAAATTTTTTTTTATTCGAAAGACATACCATTGAAAGTATTCTCTAGCAACTAACTAAATTTGAGGGTATGTTAGGAGGGGGGGGGGGGGGGGGGGAAACCCCCCCCCTTTTTTTTCCCACCCCAAAAAAAACAAAACTTTTTATCACCCCTCTTAAAAAAACTTCATTCATTTTGTCCGCTTCTCT